CTACATCCAGAGTAAGAAAGCTTAGTTAAGATAGATTTCTTTTCTATTTCACAAGTATTTCTTAAAATTTCGCACAAATCCAGAACTATATTACACTTTTCCCTAAGATATCTATTACAGGGTACAAAGACTACCAGGAAGGCCAACGCCAGTCCATAGACTAGAAGACTTTCTCAGCCAGCGGCGCCATCGACTTCGCCAGGTAATCTATCTCCGCCAGAGTTCTCCGAGAACGAGAAAACCCTTCATGGAGGAACTCGAGGTGCAGTTGCGGACGATGATCTCGTATGCAAGCCAACACGTGCCCTCTGGCATATCGGCTCGATCGATGGCACTCCTGCTTCAGGGCTTCGTCAATACGTTTGCCGACGCCTTCGAGCTGAGTACAGGCCCCATTCAGCCACGAGATGTATCTAGCCGCCGACTCCTTAGGATCTCCACGGGGTACTCGGAGCTCTCTACAAACTCTGGCCATGGACGTGCAGCAACTCTTTAAGTACGAGTTGAACCACACCTCACGACCTCGGAGTGTTTCCACGGCCTGCTCCTTCTTTACTTCCAGCATAGTTCTCTCGAGTTCCGCTACATCAAATTTCGTCTTCCAATATTGGATACGACGATCTTGGTCAGCAAGCGCACTCTCGAGATCTGCTCAGCACAGAAACGACTAAGTCAAGCTACTCTTTTCTTTCGAGAACACATCAAATTAAGTCGGAGGAGCAAAGGAGATGAAAAGACCACCAACCTAAGGATGTCGTCGCCATCCCCGTTTCCACGGGTAAAATCTGACCTACATCGTCCGGCGACACATGTGGCTCAAACGCAAGTGCCAGGACGATCACTGGCGACTCAGGCTGCCCACGCTGCTGGACATCCTCGACATCAACATCTCTACAAATGACAACAAAGTACTTGGAATCAAAATGCTGAAGAAAACTAAGGTGACGACCGCACACAGGCCAACACAGTTTTACAAGGCATGACTGGTTAAAGAGTACAAGGGAACTGAGATCCTACTCTTCAAAAAGTGGGAGAACGGACTCTCCCAGATCGCCGACTTCCTCCATCATGCCTTTACGCGCGTCGTTAGTCGCCTCCTGATCCAAGATCCGCTAAAAATCGAGTTCAGGGTGTGCTAACCTCACACACGCAAGGACGTGACACGCCTCGGTATAGATCCCGTTGGACGCCTCCTCCCCGATCCTGGCTGCATGCTTGGAGGGTATCGCCTCCATCGCCTTGGCCAATTTCGCGAGTGAAGTCGTCAGCGAGAACTCGTCGGGGTTCACCGGGATGGTGGTCGTAACACCACATTCCCTGGCGAGCTGGTGTAGGCCGGTGTAGGTGACCCGCAACGAGCCGCGGATCCTCGACGGGTTGTTCTCAAGTTCCGACATGCGGTCCTCGAGTCCCCGCCGTTGTCGCTCGTTGCCGGCCACCAGTTCCCTCATCTTCTGGAGGTCCTCACAAACCTCCGCCAGGTCACGCGCCAGCTTGTCGGCACGCTCGTTTGCCGATGACGCCGCCGACGTCCTCGCTTCCGCAATCTCGCGGCTTATGCCGTGAGCGCCAGCCTCGAGGATGCGCCCCATCTCGACTTGGAGCTCCCCCAGGTGAGGACGTCAGCAGGCAGGCCGCGAGCAGGCCCGAGATCACTGGCAGGGCCGGTAGGCGTCGCCTCACGGCTCCTGGGCACGACCATGACATCGGTCGAGGCCACCACAGGAGACGCGCTTGAATTCCCTCCGGACCCGTCGTGCGCCGCCTTCGCCCGTGCCGACCTACAAAAGATCATCGTATCCGGACATCAAGACTAGTCGCCAGAATTCAACCAAATGAAGGACCTCAATTTCCGTCTACTCACTTCTCGCCCAGCGTCACCAGCTTCTGCCATCGTGGAGGTGGCGGAGACGCGTCCAAGGCCTAAGTAAGACCAGTACGACGTGAGGGGGACGTCTTCCGACTACATAGTTAACAACTCGAGTGACATACTGATGGGGAGGACGCTTTTCGGCGGTTGCCGAGCACGGAGGTGAATTTTCTCCCCTTCCTCGGGACACGGCTGCCACTAGTCGTGGCAGCAACAGCAGCGATGGCCGCGTCGGACGCCTCCTAGGCGACACCCTCCTTCAACGAAGCCGCCGCCTGGTGGTCCACAAGTGGTCCAATGACGTCGGTCAGAGGGAGAGCCTGCATCACGTGAAATCGTTATGCGATCTAGGACCAAAAACAAAGGGGTCGACAAACACACTCACGTTGATTGCGGCTTCACGCTCAGCTTCCCCTTCTCGCAAAGGGGGATAGGGACGTCGCTCGCTGTTGTCGGGCCACTGATCATCAACTGGCCGACGCGACGTTCCACAGTCTCGCGGTTCAAACCTGTAGACCGAGAACCAAAATTCGGTAAGACAGGAGGAACATGCACATAAGGAAACCAAATTAAACACAAGAAAAATACCCCGAGGAGAAACCCGGGTCGCGTCCTCCGGCCCAGAGTAGTCAAAGGCTGGGTGGGCTCGAGCCTGGAGCGGCTGGATCCGCCTACCAATGAAGTCAGCAGTGACTTCATACCCCGACAAGCCCCGTACTCGGAGGTCATCGATGGCATCAATGAAGGGCTGAAGAGAGGGGGTCAAGGTGGGTTTGGCGGTCCAAGACCATATCTGGCTGCTCCTCAGGAACAACAAAGATCGGATCCGAATCCTCTATCTGAAGATAGAACCATCTTGCTCGCCACTTGCTACGAGAAGAAGGGCACTGGAAGGGGATATAGCGCGACTTCAGGCCATCCCGAAGTCGGAAACCAACACATCCAGATACCCTGGTGGATTCCATCCAGCGCAACTCGTAGTAAAAACGAAGGAGATCGAGAAACGGCTCTACCCCAATGTAGGCCTCACAGAGATGTGAAAAGATACTGAGGAAGGCGATGGAATTGGGATTCAGATGGAGAAGAGAAAGACCATAGAAGTTCAAAACGAGGATGAGAAACTCAGAAGGCGGAGGGAGAAAGCCAAAAAGAATATAATCCTCTACCGCAACCATGCGGCCTAGGACAGGTTCAGGTTCAGTACCTCCTGGTTCCCTCTCCATGGTCCCGCGACTGGGGAGGGCGCCCTCCTCTTGCCAACTTCTTCAAGGACGCACTGGTTGAAGTGGACTTGTCGAGGTCCATCGCCGTCAGAGATCGCCGAAGAAAGGACCGGGATGAACAAGCTAGAGTTTGTGCACGAGCGGAGAAGACGAGGAGTGCTTGGAGGCTGGAGAGTTTTTCTTCACAAACAGGCGGACTTCAAAATGGATCCCCAAAATCCTCTTAAATAGACACATTTCCGACGGTGCGAATTCCAAAGAACGGAGAGAGAGATGCCCGCCGGAAATTTCTGGGTCCGTTACGCGCGGCGGTTTCTCGGACTTCAGTTTAAATTCACTCATGACCGTTGGGCTTCACATGGTGCTGTCGATTACGTCTTACGGTCCTCGCACCGAGAACGATAACAGCCTCGACACCAGAAGTCGCGATCGGTTACACGAGTTCATTTAAGCAAAAGTCAGGGGCTACTGTTAGGGTTACGTGTAAGGCATACCCTTTACCCTTCGATATACGTCATATATCGATATAGCATGCCTGCGCGTATATGGACGTTCTCTGTATACATTAAGGAAATCCTTCACAGAGTTTGCAGATGGAAGGAGTCCTACTCGGACAGGACTGGGTCGTCAATGTATCGTGCAGGGTCCGGTGTTTCCGGGTCCTACTTGGGAACCGCCTGACCTGCGATATAAAAGGGACCCCCCGGGAGGACCTAAGGCATCGAATCTCAGAGCCAACACAACCATCACAGCCTACGAAGTCAGAGCCTACAAGAGCCAAGTCGCCGGGAGATCTAGTCGAACCAACTCGATTACGATCTCGCCGGTTTCATCGAGTTCCATCGTTCCCTTTGTAACCTGTGATTTCCATCATATAATCCCATATCAACTGGATTAGGGCTATTACCTATCAAGGGGCCTGAACCAGTATAATCTTTGTTTTCTCTCTGTTTGATGTCGTATTACGTAAATCCTTGTACCAACGTACCCCAATACCCTCTATATCCGGTCTACGGGTATGACCCGTCGACAAATATGATTATTACAAGTAATATATAAATTATTAGTTGAGTTCTCTCTACATGATCTTCCCACGGGATAAAATAAATACGATACACTTGGAATACTGTCGGGTGAAATGCTACAATGGTATATCCGTGCGCTTGCGGATGAACTCTGTAACCATAATATACCAGAAGTATTTCTACGCCATTGCTGGGAATTATATTTCTAGTAATGTCGTTAAGAAATAACAACAAGCATTTCTGGCGCCGTTGCTGGGGAAGATTCATAGTAGAGATTACTTGAACTAATTATTTTATATTTACCTCTGTATAATCATTTCCTTTGCAAGCTAACCTTGGTTGTTTTCACTTTTTGTTGTGAAAACAGGGTGGTGCATGACTGGTTTCAACTTGCCGAAAAACTTCAATGAAAATCCAGAAGCTTTCTTTCGGAGCGTTAGGCCGCGAGTCGTTGCTCCGCAGAAAACTCTTCCGACAGAGAAACCAGCCATACCAGTGCCACCGACCTTCAAGACTATGGCCAGCAAGACTCTTCGCGAGTTTGCTGCTCCCTCTGCTGACAATGTGGCCATTGGGCCGCAAGTCAACATAGGAGACGTGGATTTCGACTTGAAGTCCAGCCTTATCACGATGGCGCAGGCTAGCCCGTTCTGTGGCAAGCCAAATGAGGATGCCAATGCTCATCTGCAACAGTTCCTGGAGATCTGTAGCACGTACACCATCAAGGGCGTCAGTCCCGACACCATCAGGCTGCGGCTGTTTCTATTCTCCCTTCTCGGGAGAGCGAAGCAGTGGTTCTATGCCAACCATGCTGCTGTCAACACCTGGGACAAATGCTATACGGCATTCCTCTCGAAATTCTTCCCGATGGGCAAAACCAATGCTCTTCGTGGAAGGATTTTAAGTTTCCAGCAGACAAGGGATGGGTCTATTCCTGAGGCATGGGAGTGTCTGCAGGAGTATGTGGCCGCCTGTCCTCATTATGGGATGGACGACTGGCTAATCCTGCAGAACTTTTATAATGGACTCACCCCAATGTCCCGCGATCACCTGGACACGGCAGCTGGAGGAGCCTTCTTCTCTAAAACGGTTCAAGGGGCCGTTGAACTCATAGAGAAGATGGTCTCCAATATGGGTTGGAGTGAGGAACGACTCCAGACCTGTCAGCGAGGCATGCACACCGTCAAGGAGACGGAGTTACTTGCTGCCAAGCTGGACCTCCTCATGAAATGCTTGGACAACCACGAGAAAAGGCCACAAGGCACCGTCAAGGCCTTGGACTCACATGTCACGTGTGAGGTCTGCGGCGGCACGGGTCATTCTGGGAATGACTGCCCGGAAACCCGTGAGGAGGCGATGTACATGGGAAACAACAACGGGTACCATCCACAAGGAGGTCAGGGGTGGAACCAACCACACCCATATTATCAAGGAGGTAACAATAACGGTAACTTCTCTAACCAGCCCTCCTTAAAGGATCTCATTTTTGTGCAAGCCAAAACCACTGATGCGCTAAGCAAAAAGCTTGCTGCCAATGATAAGATCCTAGAGAACATTAATGTCAAATTAGACGGCTTCGCTTCTGCTTTTCAAAATCAGCTGAGCTTTAACAAAATGATAGAAACCCAGTTAGCTCAGTTAGCATCTTTAGTCCCTGCAAATGAAACTGGGAGAATTCTGGGGCAACCCGACTCCTCCATTGAAAATGTCAAGGCGATCACAATGAGGGGAGGTAAGTCCACTCGTGATCCGCCATATCCTAACCCTGCAGGAACTAATGGGATGTCAAAAGAAGCGCCATCTAATGACTTGGCTGACAAGGAGATTCAGCCAGACAAGACCGTGCCGCAGGAATACTGCGACACACGGTTACTGCCATTCCTCCAACGGATGAGGAAACCGTCAGCGGACGAGCAGTTCGCTCGTTTTGTTGAAGTGATCCAAAAGATCCACATCAACATGTCATTGTTGGATGCTATGTAAGTGTCGACATACGCCCGTTATCTCAAGGACATACTCAACAACAAGAGACCGCTCCCAACAACGGAGGTGGTCAAGCTGACGGAACACTGCAGCAACCTGATACTCCACAAACTCCCGGAAAAGAAGAAAGATTCGGGGTGTCCTATGATCACCTGCTCGATCGGGGCACAACAATTCGACTAGGCCTTATGCGACCCTGGAGCCAGCGTCAGCGTCATGCCAAAAGACGTCTTCGACAAGCTCAACTTCACGGTGTTGTCACCAACACCGATGTGCCTTCAACTAGCTGACTCATCAGTCCGTTACCCGGCAGGGATAGAGGAGGATGTGCCAGTCAAGATACAGGATTTCTTCATCTCGGTTGATTTTGTGGTGCTAGACATGGACACGGGGAAGGAGACGCCGCTCATTCTGGGACGTCCGTTCCTTAGCACCGCAGGAGCCAACATTGATGTGGGAACGGGGAATATCCATTTCGATATCAATCGGAAGGAGGAAAAGTTTGAGTTCCAACCAAGGACGGAACAATGCTCCATGGTCAGAATAAAGTACGGGCCGAACCCTCAGAATATTCAAGTGGTCGAAGTGGAGCCACCCAAAATAGACAGCCTGGTGAAATTTATGCAGAACTTCCTGGAGAAGGAAACAACGATGCCCAGGAACCGTTATTGAAAAACGCTGGTAAAATCACCCGTACCGGCCAAGAAGTTAGACCAGCCGGCTCAGAAGAAGCTGTCTTCCGCACCAAAACCAAAGAAGGTGTGGAAGGAAAAGCCAAAGGCGCCCGCTCCATCACCTTTGGAGACGGGTGGAAAATACGCAAACTGAACCGAAAGGAGGTACGGTCTTGCACGTCAGACTTTAAACGACGTGACCTTCGCCAACAGGTAAATTGGTATGTATCCGCATATTTTCTTTCAACAATTTGAATTTTTGCATCATCGCATGTTTGAAATTCAAAATTTGCATTTAGGATTTTGAATTTTGAGGAAATTCTTCAAATGAATTTTTCAGAGCAAACCAAAATAAAATTTTCAACGAAAATTCACTGTGCCATGACCGCACTGACCGTTGGAATCCAACGGCCGAAAGTGGGGCCGGTTGGGCCCACCAGGGGTTCGGCCGAACACCCTGGTTCGGCCTAACCGGCCAGGCCAACGGTCGGCTGCCTCTTTCTTTGAGGCAATGGCTAGTAGGCCCCACAGGTCGGTTTTGACCGTTGTGGGTGCACTATTTAAGCCAACCGGCCGGGAGAGGGGACGTCACCCCATTTCAACACATTTTCATTCCCTCTCCAAAGTTTGCTCTCAAGTTCATTCAAGCTTTGATAGTTTCCCTCAAATTCAAATCTTTAGTTGCATATATACAAGTTGCTTTGGTGAAACTAACCGGCGGGTGAAACTCTTGTCATTTCTAACCCCTGCCGAGTTAGTCCGTTCTTGCTTCATTGTGCAGAATGAGGAGGCGATTGTCTCGTCTGTTCAAAGGGTCCGGCTCTTCGTCAAGTCATCATGACGAGTCTAGTACTCGTTCATTAGCCGATGTCTCGATGAAAGACGCCGAAGCTCCGCGACGACTCCTAAACGACACTGACCTCGACCTTGTCAGTGATCGGGAGAGGCAAGCCTACTACATGCTGAGCGACCAGGAGTATGCTCACACACGAGAATACTCACCGGAGCTGCTGAAAAAGATAGGTATGGATGTTGAATTTCGTTTTATTTGGAAAGCTGTTGGTTGGCAGAGATTTGTTGTGGTAGACGAGCCTGGATCTGGTTTGCTTACTTTGCAATTTTTGTGCACTTTGAAAGAAATAGAAGATGGTATCTCTTTTCGCTTTTTCCGTAAGGAGTTCACACTCACATGGAAAGGCTTAAGTACACTTCTTGGTTTTTCACAATTCCTGTAAAATCGATCTCCAGAAAGGAATTTCTGGGTTCGAGAAAAATAGGTTTTGGCAAGACATTTCTGGTGCTCCAATTTGCAAGAAACCTAGAACGAATTATATCCATAATCCTACACTTAGGCTCATGCACAAATGGATTGCTATGACTTTGTTTCCTAGAGGTGATCTGAGACCCATTAGGGGGGATGAATTAATTATCATGTTTGCCATGGTTAGAAAAATTAAAATTGCTCATGTGAAATGTATTATAAGGCAATAGTTAGAAAGTATAAAGTTCTTTGCTCCTGTTGAGTGCACTTCTCTGATTACTCGGATAGCAAAAGGGCTAGGGGTCGTTAGCAACCAAATTGCTTTTATCTCAACCACTCGTCCGCGTATTGATGAGGCTTATCTAGTGCAAGGGCATATTTTGAAATATGGAGCAGATGGATCTTTGATATACTTTTTCCCCGGTTGTACAAATGAAATCCCGTTGCCAAATGCGGGGTATAATTTGTACAACTGCCATGAACTAACCATTCCCCTGCAGACCATAGAAGAATCTCGTGCGGCTGGAACATACAGGGAGACGCGCAACATGACAAGAAACAAACGAGAAAGTTCATCATCCTCAAAACCTGTACAGATGTATGAGGCAGGTTGGGCACCAACTGGGGATGCACCTAGATGGACCCAAGCTCCACGCCATAGCATAGGAGTCTCAACCTGGACAAGCGCCAGTGAGGACCGGTGGCATGCGCCTCATGACATCCAATGGGGGGACAATCAACCTCCCAGACCAAGTGGTGTGCCTCCATATCTAAGTGAATGGCGCTCAAGTTCCTCTTGTTGGGACTTGGGTGAAATCACTAGAAGAATGGACACCCTTGATATGCAGACGGGGGAGATCCAGTACAACCTAATGGAACACATAGCTCAAACGCAAGAATGGCAACAATCTGCTGATGCTCAGTTCACCAACATCAACAACATGATGCAGCAACAGCGCGATGACCTTCAAGCGTACTTCCGTTTTCAGGGGTTCAATCCTTATCAAGGACCCTGAGCGAAACCAAGCTTGGGGGGGATATCTCTCCTCCCCACTGAGGTAACTTGTATCCCATTGCATTTTTCCCTTTCCAATTGCATATTTGCTTTCCAATTGCATCTTATAAAACTTAAAAACAACATAAAAATTTGCAAAATAGAAAATACCAAAAAGATAGGATAGGTTTGAGTCATGCTAGGTAAGACAAGCTAGTTCTTTTTGTTGAAATGATGAATAGTTGCTCTATTTTATATCTCTGATATATGGGTTCTTAGTAAATACTCTCTCAAAAGGTTAAATATAACTAGCCAACAATTATCCGCGAACCTGAGGTAAATGGGCTGCACCTGCTGATCTAAGTCTAGGTTGTTGCGAGATATGAGATAGTGAATGAGAGTTACTATGATCCTGATACTAGTTTGACTTAAATTCCGGATGCTTTGTTTTTCAAAATGATAAATTGAAAGTTTCTCATTTGATATAAGTTCCTACCAGAGCCAAAAATATGCTATCATGATTAAACCATATACATTTTGGTTGCTTGAAATTCCATTGAACTTTGTCAAACTCTTGTGACTTGTGTAGATACTTCTCATGCTCTATGATCAAGATCATACACCCACATATATGCACATGCTAAAACTCATACACTGGGAGCTAAGCAATATTCCATTCCATTCCGATATTACCACCAAAATAAATTCTCCATGCTTTCATGTGTTGTCTTCCCCTAAAAAGTAAAATCCTTTTGAAAAAAAAAGAAAGAAAAGGAGGGAAATGCATGGTTATGAAAAAAAAATAAAGTTATGCTCCATCAAGCATGAGCATGATTGAAAAAAAAATATGTAGCCATGCCCTCTCCTAATCAATAAAAGAAGGATTTTTGGGAGAAGAAAGTAAGCACAAAGGTGAAGCATTTTTCTTTTATTTTTCCTCATATACCATTTCCACTATATACCACACACACATTATGCACAATCTTCATCTTGAGTATGTTTAGTTATCTGCTCTAGTCTAAGTTTTTGACTTAGTAATAAATGTGAATGTAAGTATGCCATGTTTGACCCCTACCA